CTCTCTCTCTCTCTCTCTCTCTCTCTCGCCATGTTTCTGTTTCTGTTTCTGTACTTTGCAAATGCTACACGATTCACATATCGATAGATATACGCGAATTGCGAAAAATGCGTATGTGAACGTAGATAGAGCAGAGATTTCGAATCGTTCGTTTCATTTCACGGAATGAATGAATTTTTCTAGTAGCATGTAGTTACTACTCTAGCTACAACCGAAGAGTTACGGCTGTTACTTTACTGTTTAATCGCGAGAGGAAGGCGAAACTTTTCGTCAACGTAAACGTACACAATTTATCGAAATAATCAAAACACTGCATTGCAGCACTAAAATCAATGTTATTTATTTATTCGTGCTCTGTTGTATTGAATTGTTAGTGCTAACAATTTAATAATAATTTCATAGTGCATGTAACAATCTGATAAGGTATGGCACGATTCGAAACATGGATCACATGCTACGTATCTGTGTCTTTTCGTGATTGATTTATTGCCACACCTTTTCATTTGAAATGAAACAACTGTAAAAATAATCACGTTTAAATAGTATACGGCTAACGGAAGATTATAGTTGTTGAATTAAAATTCACTTACTCTCTGATCCAATATTTTATCGTTGCAATTATTGTCAAAGTTGAGCGCCAACGATAGCCAAGGGATAAAAAGAACAGTCAAGCAGAATTCACAGAGAAAGAGATCGTGATGATCGTCGTAAATTTCCAAAGAGACGACGACGACGAATTACATATTCACGGATTACTCTAATAATCAAGAATCACGCCGATTTTACCTACCGATGCTTTCCGACTTTCCGTACTTGCGTGAGTGGTGAGAGAAGTTGGCCTGCGGTTCGAACATTTCGGAAACCTAATACACACGGCGCGGCGTTGAAGCAAAAAGTGGTTCTCGAGCGGCGCGAAGACGCGTGAAAACGGAAAGAGGCTGAGAAGAAGAGACAGGTATAAAGACGAAATCCCACCGGGGTGGTCTCGCAGATTCGTCCTCTGCGAGGTGTTTTAACGTCCCCGCGCGTCGGTGGTCACGCGTTTCAAGCGCTTAATGAAAGG